TTATATTTTCATTTTTTATTTTCTCTGCAAGTTTTATCGGATATTTTTTTTGGCATTTCTTAGAAGTTCAGTAGTTTTATTTATTTGTTTGTATATGTCCCAGTGTTGTTCTTGTTGTGTTCTGTTTGCTCTTTTACACTTTCTCATGATTTTTTTTAGATTATTGTGCATCGAAGGTTGGTCGGAATGCCGAACTGTAGTAATAATATCTGTCATATTTTGCGGTTCGGATCGGAATATCCGTCCCGAGGTGACCCGCCCATTGGGCGGTAATGAGGTCACTGTAATGACCGAGTGACGGAGATTGAGTCATATTATTTTCATATATACTGCGGAAAATAGAAGCATATTCTCAATATTCATTATGTTATACTGGGGTGGAAAAGTGGGTACGGTGAGGCATTTCTAATACCACAGTGAACAAAGAAAAGGGAGGACAGGATCATTTTGAAAGGAGTTGGATTGAAAATGAAGACTGGATCGATATGAAAAGAGTTGATTTGAGAAAAAGGAATTGAAGAAAAATGGGCATTTATTAATAATGTGAAAAATCTTCACGAATGTCAGTGAAAACGATAAGTAAAAATCAAAGTGCTGAAGGCACTGCAGTTGGGACGTTCTTGAAGGATCAAAATTACCATTTTTTACTATTTCGGGGACAGATAATTCGATGAGTGAAGGGTATTGTCGGTTGATAAATATAAAGTGCACAATTCAGTAAATGAACAGTAGTTGATACAATTATTCTATGACACACATGTTCAATCACAATCACAATCACAAACCGTCATTGGCCCTTTTTGACAAGAGCAACAAGTGAAATAAGAGGTACCAGAGGAAACTGCAAGCTCGACTATATTAACACATGACATAACAAGAGCACCGCTAGGCGGAGCATTATATGCTCGAAAGTGTTTTTTTAGTAAGGATGAAGCATTTGTAAGACATAGGAATTAGATATCATTCCAAAAGCAATCCTCCTTTATAGCTGAAGAACCATCATATATATACAGTTGCTGTTTTCAAAGCACCACCATCAAGTTGTTATCTTGTAAGAAAAAATGCTACGACGGATGGACTGAAAGACGCCAGGGGTATAACATAATATAAGCAATTTTTTATGGCATATAGTAAATGTATTCAATATAAGTGATCATCCTAGGAAGTTTGACAGTTGTAAAACTGTTAACAATACAAAGGTCATTTGATATTGACCTTCGATCTTGTGACCCCAATATAGATATGCATCCTTTATTCTATATAGGCAATCATCCTATGAAGTTTGAACACTGTAAGCCTAATGGAACATTTTCAGTTTTAAGGTAATAGTGACTTTGACCTTTGACCTTATGACCAAAAAATCAATTGGGATCTTCTACCCTATATGGACAATCATCCTATGAAGTTTGAATAATGTGGGCCAAATGGAACTTAAGTTATGCTCCGGAAACCATTTTCAGTTTTCGGGTAATAGTGACCTTGACCTTTGATCTTTTGACCCCAAAATCAATAGGGTTCTTCTACCCAATATGGACAATCATCCTATGAAGTTTGAACAGTGTGGGCCAAATGGAACTTAAGTTATGCTCCGGAAACCATTTTCAGTTTTAAGGTAATAGTGACCTTGACCTTTACCCTTGTGACCTTAAAATCTATAGGGTTCTTCTACCCAATATGGACAATCATCCTATGAAGTTTGAATAATATGGACCAAATGGAACTTATGTTATGCTCCGGAAACCATTTTCAGTTTTAGGGTAATAGTGACCTTGACCTTTGACCTTGTGACCCCAAAATCAAAAGTAAGGCTCCCACGTTTACATTTTTTTGTAAATGTTTACATGATTGCTAAGAACCGAAATGATACCGTTTAAACGGTGGTACTTCTTTGTACTTAACTACACCATGTATTCAAGTCTCCAAATGATGACTTACTTTTTATTTACAAATAATTTAATGTTCAGGGCTCATCACGATTGAGTCCACACACATTTTCTTTGTATCCTCATTTCGCTCTTTTCGCTACTTTGGAATAAACCAATTACAATTGATAGAATTCTTGATTACAGGCAATGATTAAGATATTTTGTAAGACAATATTGTCATTTCGATTAAACGGTAAAAATTTCGTAAATTCGACTGAAAATCGAAACGAATCCGTTCAAACGCGTAACCGTGGGGTCTTAATCAATAGGGGTCTTCTACCCAATATTGACAATCATCCTATGAAGTTTGAATACTGGGGGCCAAATAGAATTTAAGTTATGCTCCGAAACCATTTTCAGTTACAAGGTAATAGTGACCTTGACCTTTGACCTTGTGATCCCAAAATCAATAGGGGTCTTCTACCCAATATGGACAATCATCCTATGAAGTTTGAATATTGTGGGCCAAATGGAACTAAAGTTATGCTCCGGAAACTGTTTTCAGTATCAAGGTAAGAGTGACCTTGACCTTTGACCTTGTGATCCCAAAATCAATAGGGGTCTTCTACCCAATATGGACAACCTTCCTATTTAGTTTGAACATTGTGGGCCAAATGGAACTTAAGTTATGCTCCGGAAACTCTTTTCAGTTTTAAAGTAATAATGACCTTGACCTTTTGACACCAAAATCAATAGGGGTCTTCTACCCAATATGGACAATCATCCTATGAAGTTTGAACATTTTGGGTCAAATGGAACTTAGGTTATGCTCCGGAAACTGTTTTCAGTTTTAAGGTAATAGTGACCTTGACCTTTTGACCCCAAAATAAATAGGGGTATTCTACCTAATATGGACAATCATCCTATGAAGTTTGAACATTGTGGGCAAAATGGAACTTAAGTTATGCTCTGGAAACCAAATTGCTAACGGACGGACGGACAGACAGACAGACAGACAGACAGACGCCAGGGGGTATAACATAATATGCCCTTTCGGGCATATAATAAAGTAAAGTACCAAGATATATACCCTACATTGTTTGCTTAAGATATCAATAAAGACAAACAGAGGTAATCTTAAGTTTAGAAAAGAGGTTACCATATGGCCATGGGCTATGTTTTCTGACAAAGAAAGATTAGCCAACTCTCACACAAATAAGGCTAAAAAATGATGGCACATACTGTCTCCCACTTTAAATCATTGAGAAGTCTTAAAATAGTCAAAATTAGAGAAATTTTCTCCTGATATACATCAAAATATCTACCAAATATTGCCCGAGCATTGGGAGTCATTGCCGTCAATAGCTGAAGTTTCAAACTAGACATAAGTTATTACCTTCGCAATGTGTCCTGACAAATCTGCTGCCAAACTGAGCTGAAGGAGTTCTTCCATAGATCTTAACCAGTATAAGGTAAGGTCCTGTACTCAAATCCCGGCTTTTGTAACCGTGCATGGTCTGAAAAAATATGCAACACTTAAAAGTACATGTCGAAGGAAATTATAAGAGGCATTTATGCTGTAATTCTGATATCTAAAAAAGAAGGAAAATAATTTCTTAACTAGAGGATGCTTTTGTAAAAAAGCGCATGTCTCCCCCACTGCTGAGAATAACTGTGAATGGAAACAGGAATGGAAATGGAGAAATTGACCAACGGTCACTGTGACCTTGACCTTTGACCTACTGACCCCAAAAACAATAGGGATCATCTGCTCTATAAGACCAATCATCCTATGAAGTTTGAGGGCTGTAGGTCAAAAAGGAACTCTAGTTATCATCCGGAAACGAGAAATTGACCAACGGTCACTGTGACCTTGACCTTTGAACTACTGACCCCAAAAACAATAGGATCATCTGCTCAATAAGACCAATCATCCTATGAAGTTTGAGGTCTGTAGGTCTAAAGGAACTCTAGTTATCATCCGGAAACGAGAAATTGACCAACGGTCAGTGTGACCTTGACCTTTGACCTACTGACCCCAAAAACAATAGGGATCATCAGCTCTATAAGACCAATCATCCTATGAAGTTTGAGGGCTGTAGGTCAAAAGGAACTCTAGTTATCATCCGGAAACGAGAAATTGACCAACGGTCACTGTGACCTTGACCTTTGAACTACTGACCCCAAAAACAATAGGGATCATCTGCTCAATAAGACCATTCATCCTATGAAGTTTGAGAGCTGTAGGTCAAAAGGAACTCTAGTTATCGTCCGGAAACGAAGAATGGACGGACGGACTGACGGACGGACTGACGGACTGACGGACAGGGCAAAAACAATATGTCTCCCCCCGAGGTGGGGGAGACATAATTAATCAATGGCTTGATTTGCTAATTCACACAGGAGGGCTTAAATATTGTTTGCTTAAAAATGCATGCCTGCATGGAAATAGCAGTTTAGACATTATAAACCTAACCTAATTTAACTGCTGTAGCAGCTGCTACAACAACAACAACAACAATCACATCAACTGTGTTATTCTAAATGAGCCAATTATCCATAAGCTACCCTGTTTAATGACTAGAAAATCTTTTGTGTGTATATATTAGCAAATACATCCTGCAACACAGCAAAACATCAAGTTTCACTACACTGAAAGTGCCTATATTTCCAACATGTAAATCACATTTGTCCTGTTCAATTGTCAGTTCTGCTTCATTGAAATACAAGACAATAGTGCATATTTACAATCTGATTACTACAGCATCAATACTTTGCTGAAACATCAGTGCATATAATGTGTGGTCCATATGAGCAAAAGGCTACTATGGTGCTTGTTCGAATCCCATGGCCGGTGCTTCTTGGGCCCCTAAGACTACTGTCAATCACTTTTTTTGCCAATGGCTACAGCCTGAAAACACGCACTCCCCAATTCTTTGCAATGCATGGTTTATCCATAATTTAAGATGCATTTCTCTAAAAATTATCATTTTCTATATAAATCTCATAAAATAAGCTATAGATCTAGAAAATTGCTAAACACAGGGTGCAAAAATAAAATTTTATCACTTTATTAACTGCTTTAAACAAAATTTAAATTTCATTTTTTAATTTAAAATTTATTTTTACAGTTTTAATTCAATAAAATGTGGTTAATCCTTTATGCAAAAGCTCTGTACCCTTCTTCTGTACTTACTGACACAGTAGCAGACATCTACATTTGAAGGGGAGATAACAATAACAACATCTGTCCCAATTTAAAATGTCAAAATTTGAATTAAAATTAAAAATTTTCAAACCTGTCAGTTATCCTCTATTTTCCTGATTTCTATGCATAAACACAACACTGATGCAAAGTTTCATCCATATCCATCAACCAGTTCCCATTTTTCACATTTCTCTAAATAAATCCAAAATTTAAGTTAAGCCAAAATTTATACTCATTTCCTAGTAAGTTAGTATTATACAAGTACAATCATATAGGTTTGACAAGTCTCTAACAAATTACATTAATGCAGTACAATTTCTTAAATACAAAACTTCATGCGAAAAATCATCCTCGGCCAATAGAATTTTACTCAAAAATTTATATCACAAATTCTGTCATATCTTTTGATTTTGTCAATGGAGCTTTTTTCAATGGATTTTCATAGAATAAAGTTTAATGTTACCGGCTAATGTCAATTAGTTGTTTTTATGAAAGAATAAGCCCTTATTGCTTTAAAATTGTAATATAAACTCCATTAATTTTAATGAGAGCATGAAATTTTGGGTTAAAATACAAGTAATCACAAATAAATTCATAACTTTTTCTTTCAATATTGCAATAAAACTTACTGATTATAATTGTTACCTATAAACCATGGTAAATAAAGTAAAGTACCAAGATATATACCCTACATTGTTTGCTTAAGATATCAATAAAGACAAACAGAGGTAATCTTAAGTTTAGCAAAGAGGTTACCATATGGCCATGGGCTATGTTTTCTGACAAAGTAAGATTAGCCAACTCTCACACAAATAAGGCTAAAAAATGATGGCACATACTGTCTCCCACTTTAAATCATTGAGAAGTCTTAAAATAGTCAAAATTAGAGAAATTTTCACCTGATATACATCAAAATATCTACCAAATATTGCCCGAGCATTGGGAGTCGTTGCCGTCAATAGCTGAAGTTTCAAACTAGACATAAGTTATTACCTTCGCAATGTGTCCTGACAAATCTGCTGCCAAACTGAGCTGAAGGAGTTCTTCCATAGATCTTAACCAGTATAAGGTAAGGTCTTGTACTCAAACCCCGGCTTTGGTAACCGTGCATGGTCTGAAAAAATATGCAACACTTAAAAGTACATGTCGAAGGAAATTATAAGAGGCATTTATGCTGTTATTCTGATATCTAAAAAAGAAGGAAAATAATTTCTTAATTAATCAATGGCTTGATTTGCTAATTCACACAGGAGGGCTTAAATATTGTTTGCTTAAAAATGCATGCCTGCATGGAAATAGCAGTTTAGACATTATAAACCTAACCTAATTTAACTGCTGTAGCAGCTGCTACAACAACAACAATCACATCAACTGTGTTATTCTAAATGAGCCAATTATCCATAAGCTACCCTGTTTAATGACTAGAAAATCTTTTGTGTGTATATATTAGCAAATACATCCTGCAACACAGCAAAACATCAAGTTTCACTACACTGAAAGTGCCTATATTTCCAACATGTAAATCACATTTGTCCTGTTCAATTGTCAGTTCTGCTTCATTGAAATACAAGACAATAGTGCATATTTACAATCTGATTACTACAGCACCAATACTTTGCTGAAACATCAGTGCATATAATGTGTGGTCCATATGAGCAAAAGGCTACTATGCACAGTGCTTGTTCGATTCCCATGGCCGGTGCTTCTTGGGCCCCTAAGACCTCTGGAATGAGCTTGCCAATCACTTTTTTTGCCAATGTAACCAGCCTGAAAACAGGCACTCCCCAATTCTTTGCAATGCATGGTTTATCCATAATTTAAGATGCATTTCCTATAAAAATTATCATTTTCTATATAAATCTCATAAAAATAAGCTATAGATCTAGAAAATTGCTAAACACAGGGTGCAAAAATAAAATTTTATCAATTTATTAACTGCTTTAAACAAAATTTAAATTTCATTTTTTAAATTAAAATTTATTTTTACAGTTTTAATTCAATAAAATGTGGTTAATCCTTTATGCAAAAGCTCTGTACTTACTGACACAGTAGCAGACATCTACATTTGAAGGGGAGATAACAATAACAACATCTGTCCCAATTTAAAATGTCAAAATTTGAATTAAAATTAAAAATTTTCAAACCTGTCAGTTATCCTCTATTTTCCTGATTTCTATGCATAAACACAACACTGATGCAAAGTTTCATCCATATCCATCAACCAGTTCCCATTTTTCACATTTCTCTAAATAAATCCAAAATTTAAGTTAAGCCAAAATTTATACTCATTTCCTAGTAATTTAGTGTTAAACAAGTACAATCATATAGGTTTGACAAGTCTCTAACAAATTACATTAATGCAGTACAATTTCTTAAATACAAAACTTCATGCGAAAAATCATCCTCGGCCAATAGAATTTTACTCAAAAATTTATATCACAAATTCTGTCATATCTTTTGATTTTGTCAATGGAGCTTTTTTCAATGGATTTTCTTCGAATAAAGTTTAATGTTACCGGCTAATGTCAATAGTTGTTTTTATGAAAGAATAAGCCCTTATTGCTTTAAAATTGTAATATAAACTCCATTAATTTTAATGAGAGCATGAAATTTTGGGTTAAAATACAAGTAATCACAATTAAATTCATAACTTTTTCTTTCAATATTGCAATAAAACTTACTGATTATAATTTTTACCTATATACCATGGTAAATAAAGTAAAGTACCAAGATATATACCCTACATTGTTTGCTTAAGATATCAATAAAGACAAACAGAGGTAATCTTAAGTTTAGCAAAGAGGTTACCATGTGGCCATGGGCTATGTTTTCTGACAAAGTAAGATTTGCCAACTCTCACACAAATAAGGCTAAAAAATGATGGCACATACTGTCTCCCACTTTAAATCATTGAGAAGTCTTAAAATAGTCAAAATTAGAGAAATTTTCACCTGATATACATCAAAATATCTACCAAATATTGCCCGAGCATTGGGAGTCGTTGCCGTCAATAGCTGAAGTTTCAAACTAGACATAAGTTATTACCTTCGCAATGTGTCCTGACAAATCTGCTGCCAAACTGAGCTGAAGGAGTTCTTCCATAGATCTTAACCAGTATAAGGTAAGGTCCTGTACTCAAACCCCGGCTTTGGTAACTGCATAGTCTGAAAAAATATGCAACACTTAAAAGTACATGACGAAGGAAATTATAAGAGGCATTTATGCTGTAATTCTGATATCTAAAAAAGAAGGAAAATAATTTCTTAATTAATCAATAGCTTGATTTGCTAATTCACACAGGAGGGCTTAAATATTGTTTGCTTAAAAATGCATGCCTGCATGGAAATAGCAGTTTAGACATTATAAACCTAACCTAATTTAACTGCTGTAGCAGCTGCTACAACAACAACAACAACAATCACATCAACTGTGTTATTCTAAATGAGCCAATTATCCATAAGCTACACTGTTTAATGACTAGAAAATCTTTTGTGTGTATATATTAGCAAATACATCCTGCAACACAGCAAAACATCAAGTTTCACTACACTGAAAGTGCCTATATTTCCAACATGTAAATCACATTTGTCCTGTTCAATTGTCAGTTCTGCTTCATTGAAATACAAGACAATAGTGCATATTTACAATCTGATTACTACAGCATCAATACTTTGCTGAAACATTAGTGCATATATGAGCAAAAGGCTACTATGGTGCTTGTTCGAATCCCATGGCCGGTGCTTCTTGGGCCCCTAAGACCTCTGGAATGAGCTTGCCAATCACTTTTCTTGCCAATGTAACCAGCCTGAAAACACGCACTCCCCAATTCTTTGCAATGCATGGTTAATCCATAATTTAAGATGCATTTCTCTAAAAACAAGAACTATCACTTAATGTGATTAATACCCCCCCCCCCCCCCCCAAGACTGCTTCGGAAATGAGGATGTTACTAGTAACAGAATACCTTGTAAAGAATTGAAACAGAGTTATAGTTGTGGGCAAGGAAAAGGAACAAAGGGCAATAACTCTATAAATACTGAAGATTGAGTTATGGCTATTGTACACTGCACTTCCTCTCATTGTGCTTGACCATTGTATCAAGTTGTATTGAATTCAAACTACTAGTTTTCAAGTTATGCACTGGACAAAAAAGTAACAAAAGCAATAACTGTAATTAGTCCATATAGAGTTATTGTTCTTGTGCTATGCACTTCATCTCACTGCCCTTGACCATTGTATGAAGTTTCATTGAATTCCAACCATTAATTTTCAAGTTATGCACTGGACAATAAAAACAAACAAAGGGCAAAAACTTTTAAATTAGTCAAAAAAGAGTTATGCTTTCTGTGCACTGCACTTCCTTTCAATATACTTGACCATAGTATGAAATAGTTTTGAATTCCAACTAGTAGTTTTCAAGTTATGCTCTGGACAAGGAAAAGTAAAAGAGGGCAGTAACTCTGTAATTAGTCAAAATGGAGTTATGGTTCTTGTGCACTGCACTTTCTCTTATTGTGCTTGACCATTGTATGAAGTTGTTTTAAATTCCAACCAGTATGTTTTAAGTTATGCTCCAGACAAGGAAAAGTATCAAAGGGCAATAACTCTGTAATTTGTCAAAATGGAGTTATAATTCTTGTGCACTACATTTCCTCTTAATGTGCTTAACTCTGTCATATGTCAAGATGGAGTTATGGTTCTCATGCACTGCACTTCCTCTCAATGTGCTTGACCATTGTATGAAGTTATATTGAATTCCAACTAGCAGTCTTCAAGTTATGCTCCGGACAAAAAAAAGCAATCAAAAAGTAACAAAGGGCAATAACTCTGTAATAAGTCAAAATGGAGTTATGGTTCTTGTGCATGGCACTTTCCCTTATTGTGCTTGGCCATTGTATGAAGTTGTTTTGAATTCCAACTAGTAGTTTTCAAGTTATGCTCCGGACAAGGAAAAGTAACAAAGGGCAGTAACTCTGTAATTAGTCAAAATGGAGTTATGGTTCTCATGCACTGCACTTCCTCTCAATGTGCTTGACCATTGTATGAAGTTATATTGAATTCCAACAATTATTCTTCAAGTTTGAGTCCGGACAAAAGAAAGCAATGGAAAAATAACAAAGGGTTATAACTCTGTAATTACTTTAGATAGAGTTTTGGTTCTTGTGCACTGCACTTCCCCTTATTGTACTTGACAATTGTATGAAGTTGTTTCGAGTTTCAACCAGTAGTTTTCAAGTTATGCTCTGGACAAGGAAAAGTAACAAAGGGCAGTTACTCTGTAATTAGTCAAAATGGCGTTATGGTTCTTATACACTGCACTTCCTCTCAATGTGCTTAACCATTGTATGAAGTTATATTGAATTCCAACTATTAGTCTTCAAGTTATAGTCTGGACAAAAGAAAGCAATGGAAAAATAACAAAGGGCAATAACTCTGTTATTACTTTAGATAGAGTTATGGTTCTTGTGCACTGCACTTCCCCTTATTGTGCTTGACAATTGTATGAAGTTGTTTCGAGTTTAAACCAGTAGTTTTCAAGTTATGCTCCGGACAAGGAAAAGTAACAAAGGGCAATAACTCTGTAATTAGTTAAGATGGAGTTATGGTTCTTGTGCACTGCACTTCCTCTCAATGTGCTTGACCATTGTATGAAGTTATATTGAATTCCAACTATTAGTCTTCAAGTTATGCTCCGGACAAGGAAAATGCAACGGACAGCTGGACCGACCGACCGACCAACCAACCAACCGATCGACCACCGGGTGACTCCTATATACCCCCCCCAAACTTCGTTTTTGGGGGTATAATTATCATTTTCTATATAAATCTCATAGAAATAAGCTATAGATCTAGAAAATTGCTAAACACAGGGTGCAAAAATAAAATTTTATCAATTTATTAACTGCTTTAAACAAAATTTCATTTTTTAATTTAAAATTTATTTTTACAGTTTTAATTCAATAAAATGTGGTTAATCCTTTATGCAAAAGCTCTGTACCCTTCTTCTGCACTTACTGACACAGTAGCAGACATCTACATTTGAAGGGGAGATAACAATAACAACATCTGTCCCAATTTAAAATGTCAAAATTTAAAATTTGAATTAAAATTAAAAATTTTCAAACCTGTCAGTTATCCTCTATTTTCCTGATTTCTATGCATAAACACAACACTGATGCAAAGTTTCATCCATATCCATCAACCAGTTCCCGTTTTTCACATTTCTCCTCTTGAATCCAAAATTTAAGTTAAGCCAAAATTTTTATACTCATTTCCTAGTATTTTAGTGTTATACAAGTACAATCATATAGGTTTGACAAGTCTCTAACAAATTACATTAATGTAGTACAATTTCTTAAATACAAAACTTCATGCGAAAAATCATCCTCGGCCAATAGAATTTTACTCAAAAATTTATATCACAAATTCTGTCATATCTTTTGATTTTGTCAATGGATTTTCTTCGAATAAAGTTTAATGTTACCGGCTAATGTCGGTTAGTTGTTTTTATGAAAGAAAAAGCCCTTATTGCTTTAAAATTGTAATATAAACTCCATTAATTTTAATGAGAGCATGAAATTTTGGGTTAAAATACAAGTAATCACAATTAAATGTGCTTTTTTCACAAATTTTTCTTTCAATATTGCAATAAAACTTACTGATTATAATTTTACCTATATACCATGATAAATAAAGTAAAGTTCCAGGATATATACCCTACATTGTTTGCTTAAGATATCAATAAAGACAAACAGAGGTAATCTTAAGTTTAGCAAAGAGGTTACCATATGGCCATGGGCTATGTTTTCTGACAAAGTAAGATTAGCCAACTCTCACACAAATAAGGCTAAAAAATGATGGCACATAACTGTCTCCCACTTTAAATCATTGAGAAGTCTTAAAATAGTCAAAATTAGAGAAATTTTCTCCTGATATACATCAAAATATCTACCAAATATTGCCCGAGCATTGGGTGTCGTTGCCGTCAATAGCTGAAGTTTCAAACTAGACATAAGTTATTACCTTCTCAACTTGTCCTGACAAATCTGCTGCCAAACTGAGCTGAAGGAGTTCTTCCATAGATCTTAACCAGTATAAGGTAAGGTCCTGTACTCAAACCCCGGCTTTGGTAACTGCATGGTCTGAAAAAATATGCAACACTAATACATGTCGAAGGAAATTATAAGAGGCATTTATGCTGTAATTCTGATATCAAAAAAAGAAAGAAAATCATTTCTTAATTAATCAATGGCTTGATTTGCTAATTCACACAGGAGGGCTTAAATATTGTGTGCTTAAAAATGCATGCCTGCATGGAAATAGCAGTTAAGACATTATAAACCAAACCTAATTTAACTGCTGTAGCAGCTGCTACAACAACAACAACAACAATCACATCAACTGTGTTATAATTCTAAATGAGCCAATTATCCATAAACTACACTGTTTAATGACTAGAAAATCTTTTGTGTGTATATATATTAGCAAATACATTCTGTAACACAGCAAAACATCAAGTTTCACTACACTGAAAATGCCTATATTTCCAACATGTAAATCACATTTGTCATGTTCAATAAAATTATGACAGTTCTGCTTCATTGAAATACAAGACAATAGTGAATATTTACAATCTGATTACTTCAGCATCAATACTTTGCTGAAACATCAGGGCATATAATGTGTGGTCCATATGAGCAATAGGCTACTATGGTGCTTTGGCCGGTGCTTCTTGGGCCCCTAAGACCTCTGGAATGAGCTTGCCAATCACTTTTTTGCCAATGTAACCAGCCTAAAAAAAACATGCACTCCCCAATGCCATGCAATGCATGGTTTATCCATAATTTAAGATGCATTTCTCTAAAACTTATCATTTTCTATATAAATCTTATGAAAATAAGCTATAGAACTATGTAAATTGCTAAACACAGGGTGCAAAAATAAAATTTTATCACTTTATTAACTGCTTTAAACAAAATTTAAATTTCATTTTTAGCTCACCTGTCACAAAGTGACAGGGTGAGATTTTGTGACCGCTTTTCGTCCGTCGTCCGTCCGTCCGTAAACTTTTACTTTAAATGACATCTCCTCCTTAACCACTAAGCCAATTTCATTCAAACTTCACAGGAATGTTCCTTTGGTGGTCACCTTTAAAAATTGTTCAAAGAATCTAATTCCATGCAGAACTCTGGTTGCCATGGCAACCGAAAGAAAAAACTTTAAATATCTTCTTTTAAAAAACCCAAAGAGCTAGAGCTTAGATATTTGGCATGAAACATCTTCTAGTGAGTGTCTACCAAGTTTGTTCAAATAAAAGCCCTGGGGTCAAAATAGGCCCCGCCCCAGGGGGTCATTGATTTTCCCTATATGCATATAGTAAAAACTTAAAAAATCTTCTTTTAAAGAACTCAAAGAGCTAGAGCTAAGATATTTGGCATGATACATGTTCTAGTGAGTGTCTACAAAGTTTGTCCAAATAAAAGCCCTGGGGTTAAAATTGGCCCCGCCCCGGGGGTCATTGATTTTCCTTATATGTGTATAGCAAAAACTTAAAAACCTTCTTTGAAAAAACCCAAATAGCTAGAGTTTAGATATTAAGCATGAAACATTTTCTAGTAAGTGTCTACAAAGTTTGTTCAAATAAAAGCCCTGGGGTCAAAACTGGCCCCGTCCCAGGGGTGTCATTGTTTTTAACTATATGTGTATAGTAAAACTTAAAAAATCTTCTTTTAAAAAACCCAATTAGCCAGAGCTTAGATGTTTAGCATGAAACATCTTCTTATGGGTGTCTACCAAGTTTGTTCAAATAAAAGCCCTGGGGTTAAAATTGGCCCTGCCCGGGGAGGTGGGAGGGTGGAGGAAGTCATTTTTTTTCATTATATGTGTGTAGTAAAAACATAACATCATGAAACATCTTCTAATGGGTGTCTTCCAAGTTTGTTCAAATAAAAGCCCTGGGGTTTAAACTGGCCCTGCTCCGTGGGCCTATATACAGGTGAGCGACCTCAGGGCCATCATGGCCCTCTTGTTTAATTTTAAATTTATTTTTACAGTTTTAATTCAATAAAATGTGGTTAATCCTTTATGCAAAAGCTCTGTACCATTCTTCTGCATTAACCAGACAAGGCCCTATTTTCAAAGTGAAAAAAGGGAAATAACTGGGAAATATGGATGACACAGTTATATAACTTGGCAATATCATGTACTTTGTTTTGATAAGTAAGTGTGGAAATTATAAAGCTATTAGTATAGATAGAACTTAAGATATTTCCAACTTGCCGTTTTAGGTAAACCATTATTCATTTTCTAAGTGCTGTAAAGGGCAATAACTTGGTAAATATGAAAGCCAGAGTTATGTAACTTGCCCAGATCATGAACTTTGTATTGATTAGTAAGTGTGTAAACTTAGAAGCCAATGGTACAGGTAGAACTTAAGAAAAATCCAACTTGCCGTTCTAGGTTAACCTCTTACGGACAGACGGACGGACGGACGATTAAATTACTATATGCCCGGGGGCATAAAAATCATTAGTTGACCAAAAACTCAGGTTTTGTAGTAAAATACTGTGTATACATGAAAATTTATTCATAATGAGTAATCAGAGATGTAAATTAAGTTTTATTAATAACTTTAAGAACTTTTAGTTTTTATAATATTTATTTAAACATTAGTACTGGCAATTTATATGAAATTACATTAAATAACAAATGTTTATCGAAAATACTCATTCCTTTTGCATTATTTTCATTTGACCGCAGGTCTGTCAGACACTAAGCCTCTAGTGAAAATGAACAGCTAAACTAATTCAATTCAAATTTAATTCAAATAGTTTATTTTCGTCTCATTACATGTACAACACAATCAAAATGCATAAAACTGGTAAAAGTACATATTCCATTAAACACAGAATTATATGAGACGTGTAAGCAAAGCTTACATACGTAAATATAATAAAAATCTTTTTTTACATATATAATTATATTCAAAACCCATATTACTTTATATGTATTGGGAATACTGCGAATCTTTGATTTTACCTTTTTTATAATTCTTATTTCTACTAATATGTCTATTCAAACGTCTATATATAAAGCAAATTAATGGGAGATTTGAGATAAGGTTTGGTGTGAAATTAGGTAGTTATATACGTGTGTGGACTTTATTTTAATTAAATAAAATTACACGTATCAATACAAAAGACAGTCGCCTCATGATGGCCAATTTCATGTTGGGACAAGTTTTGTGACAGACGGACAGACAGACAGTACACAACTAGACTTGGTACTGATCATTCCTGTAAAGTTTGGATAAAATTGCACCAGTAGTTTATGAGGAGTAGTCCGGACAAGCTTTTGTGTATCTGGCAACACACAGAAAAAACACCCTTTTATCAAAGAGCCATAACCCGGCCAAAAATCATTCAACCGGAAAACCCGTGCAATATGCGCAAGGACTTCAGCTACAGATCAATCCTGTAAAGTTTCATTGAAATTGCATTAGTGGTATAAGAGAAGTAGTCCGGACAAACTTTAAAAATAAAAATTATTAAAGAACCATAACTCTGACAAAAATCATTGAACCGGAAAATGCTGACAATATGCACAACTAGACTTGGTACTGATCATTCCTGTAAAGTTTGGATGAAATTGAACCAGTAGTTTATGAGAAGTAGTCCGGATAAGTTTTGTGACGGACGGACAGACAGACAGACGGACAGACAGACGACGGAGAAGTGATCCCTATTTGTCGCCACTACTCCATAGAGGCGACACAATAATACACAAGATATGTTTAAATACATTCATAAATCAAAGGTCTTTAAAAATAAATTAAGAGTCGTTTTAATTTCTTTGCCAAACTTGTATTTTTTTTAAGTTCAGGCCGTTATGCCGCTGGGCCGCTAGGCCGCCAACTTCACAAAAATGATAAAATAAAAAAGTGTTCTCATAGTGATTTTTTCTTTTTATATATCCTTTAAATAACAAGAATTGTCTTTAAAACTTCATTAAATGCCGTTTTATTGTTAAAATAACATTTCTACAACATTAAAATTTTTGGCCGCTGGGCACATATAAGGAAAATCAATGACCCCCGGGGCGGGGCCAATTTTGACCCCAGGGCTTTTATTTGAACACACTTGGTAGACACTCATTAGAAGATGTTTCATGCTAAATATCTTAGCTCTAGCTCTTTTGGTTCTTTAAAAGAAGATTTTTAAGTTTTTACTATATGCATATAGGGAAAA